TTTGCATTAACCTTAAGAAAAGACAAAGTAATAAATTAAGAACTGCATATTTATCATTAATGTGGCTCAGACAGTGTTTGGTTGAACATAAGTGCATTATTTTAATTCTAGATTGGACAAAGAGTTATGTCATCTCTTTGTCATCATGTTATGTCATCTTCAGTGTAGCTGAGTGCTTTGTCTTGATGTTGAAGCTTGAGAAGTTGTTATTAAAATCCTTTTTATAAACTCTACCGTGGGCACACATTTCCACTTTTTTTGGTGACATTATTTATCCTTTAATTCTCCTTCTATCCGTCTGCGTGCAGTGCTGAACCATCGCCAGCAGAGGGAGCTATGTTCCTTTATGTGACCACTAACCTCACAATTTTTAATCTGTCTACATGTGGTCAGTTCATTCTGAAAGGAAGCACAAAAGGAACCTTGTGAGTGAACTGCACCTTGCGCGCAGCTGGTTTTACGGCAAACGGAAAAAAACAAAAGCTCCGTTTTACAAAATAAAACATATGGTACATTAATATATTATATAAACCTGATACACTTGCCTTGTTGTATTGACTAAACAATGCACCTAAAAGTCATTAACAAGGTGTTTCTGTATGTTTCTCAATGACAGGAAGGGGCTATCTCATAGGAAGTGGAAGTAGGAGCGTCCCTCTCTCTCTCACACACCACACACACACTCTCACACACACACACACACTCACACTCCCCCATGGTCGTCCGCTCGCCTGCCCATCCTGTAGCTATGAGCGGTGTGAGCCAGGAACACCCCCTCTCTACAGGGCTATGGCTGCCTGCTAGTATTTTGGTAATCGTCATCCTCCCTGACCTGCTGGCCCGATCCTGGCGCCAGAAGTCTCCTCGCCTCCCCGAGCTGACTACCCCCGACCCCACGGATAATTCAGACCAGCTGTTGCAAGGTGCCTTGCCTACTCCCACCCACTATACTCACACTTGCCACTTCTACAGTTCTGAGTTGAAAAAATCTGGCTGTGGGCTTTTTTGGAGGCCATTAAGTCTTTGCATGGGGTCTCACTGGTGCATAAAATAAATCCAAGTCAATCACAGGCCAGGTTCCCGCTCTGCAACAAATCAGCAGTGTCTGGATTTGATGTTGCAATATGGAAACACACTTTCAGCGGGTATCGTGGTGTGGCAGGGGAGTCAAACTCTGATCTTTGCTTTCCTGGTCCTTCACGAGTGTCACTGACCTGGATTTCTCTTGTTCCTCTAACCGTTCTGCCTTAATGAAGTGGAATGTGTGTCACTGTGAAATGCGAGTCCCACAGAATTGAGTTTTGTTGCAATATGCCTCTGCAGAGCCATCTCCTCAGTGGAGTCACATGAACAGCATGTGCGTCCTCCATGATCAACTGATACTGTGAGGGGATTGAGAGTTGTTGCCAAGGAATGTTTGAGGAAAAAGGACGAGAAAGAAAAAGGCCTCAATTTGCAACAGATCGTTTTCCTCCTGTGCTGTATTTGTTTAGCAGGAAAGACCACTTCTTCTTTTGTGCACTTGAGTGTTTTTGGCATTTGGGGGCTCTGTGTAAAATAAGGTGCCTCGCTGTCTATGGCCTAACCACAGTGGGACTTCGGACTGAGATGGAGGGGAACCCCCTTTTGATCCCCACTCCACAACCCCAGCACTGCTGAGTAACAGCCCACAAGTGAACTGCGTACATGTATGTGTGTGTGTGACAGAGGTTTGGATTGTTTTTTTCACGGTGGTGGCGGTGTGCGGTTGCCTCGTAGAACAGCAGTGGATGGTTGTCAGAGTGGCCTGATGGAGGGGGGTGGGGGACTGGTACAAAGAGCTGTTCTGGTGGAACTATGGAGGAAAATAGTTCATGCTGCACTGGGATTTCCTGCCTTTGCCCTGGTTAGCCCCCCCCCCCCACCCCTTCCCTCCTTCTCTTGTCTACCCGCTCTGTTCTCGACGCCCTTCAGCAGTATGGAAAGTTCTCGGACAATATTTCAGATGGGTGAAGCAATTGATTTAATTACAAAAAGGACTGCAAGGATCATGGGGCGAGAGATTCCGTGTTGATGCAGACTTTCGCTATCAGGTTTCCATTTATCCATTTCCTCCTTTAATCTGTCCACCTACAATCTTTAGTGCACATGAATAGTTTTGACTGTGCACAATGTCTCGTTCATGTCTCTCACATTGACATGCAACATATCTGGATGGTGTTATCTGATCTTTTATCACACGCAGCTGGAATACACATTATTTCGCCCTGACATTGGTGCTGTGAAGGGAAGCTCAAGACAGCCACACCGCTGCCGCTTGTGTTAAATGTAGAAAGGACAGGTGGGTCACCATTTGGCTGCCATCAAACATATCGCGTGGGTGTCAAAGAGGAGGTGAATAGGGATGAGGGGGTCTGGGTTTAATGTTTTAACCAGTCCCCTCTCTTCCAGGGCTTTGATCTTAGGTGTCAGCGGCGGAGCTAGGGGGCATGTGTCACTCATTAGCAGTGTGGTGAGAGTGTGCTGGTTTGCAAGTTTCCCTAGTGTGGGGCAGAGTGGAGAGGATGCTGTGAAAATGGCTGCTCATGGGGTGTTCCTGCTAATAAATCCGGAGGCTGGCGTCAGGGCTTGGGGGTGGGGATCTAAAAAATAAAAAACCCTGAAGGAAAGCAGTGCAGTTCACATTAATAACTGCATATGTGTTGAGCATTGCTTTCATTGCCCTTTGTGGTGCACACACTTATGCTAAACTGATAGCACAGGAAGTCGAATAGACGATTTCATTGAAAAGCCCTGCTGCCAGCACTCACTGTCTTAGGAGAGGAGGGAAATGGAAACCAGATGTCTGAGATCCACCGTGAATATGTCAAAGCTCTCAGACTAGAGAGTCAGTTCCTCCATGTCCCATTGGTGGACTGAAACTTTTCTGCACTGTCATCAGTAATGTCTATAATACTCCCTCCCCGTGGACATCTCGTACAATCTTGGCTGCAGCTACGACCTGGAGACTCGGGGAAAGAAGCTTCACTGTTCCAGAAGATGACTTTTTTTCTCTATTCCTTAGGTTTCAGACCTCACCACATTCCTCAAATTTCAGGGTAACTTCCCACATCCCAAGGCTCAGTCGGGTGGCAAATCTCTCAGCACTCCTTTGTGGATAGATTGCCTTTTCTTGCTTGAGAAAATAACAAGCTATAGAGTAATGACTTAACAAGCAACAGGATAATGGCTTCAACATGCGCAGGACTGGGTTGCCTGTGTGCGTGCATAGATTTGGGACAGCGCGAGCGTTACTCGCCTGTGTGCGTGTGTGTGTCTATTGTTTGGCAACCAACTGTGAAGAATCAACTGGTTCTGTGTTTGGTTGGAGTTGTTTGAAAGCTGGACCGCTGGTGAATATTGCTCTCCTCCAGGTCTGGAGCCTTGGAGCCTTTCGGGAATCAGCAGCCCCCGGTGCGTCACAGTGACAGGGACGGCCTGTGGGGTGTCAGTGGGAGTGCCGGGTGTTTTCCATCATACCCAGCTGCTGCGTAGGCCTCCCACACAGAAGAGCACTCAGCACCTCAGTGTGTGTTCACCTACATCTGTGTGTTTGTATCTGGGGATGTTGGAGACAGTGTGACAGCATTTGTGGTGATTATGGCAATATGACTGTTGTCGTATGTACTCTGTGTGTGAGTGTATGAACATGAAGCAAACTATTAGTGTTTACTATCTGTAGGAGTGTCTCGATGCCATACATCTGTTCCTGGTGCTCACTGCCTCAAGGATTCACTTTCTTTGATCCCCATTGGAACAAATGGGAGGCACTCGACACCTCAGCCTTCAACAGTGACAAACCAAACTCCTAATCCTGCTCCGAACATGCCCGTCCCTCATATGCTTGTGGCTTTAAGACTTTGTGAACTTTGTGAGGCTGTTCATGGGAAATGACATGCTATAGATGCTATAATGACTAAATTAATAATTCTCTTCCTGTCAGTGATATTCGTGTGTGTGACACAATCAGTCATGGCGTGATGCAGCTTGCCCGAGTAGGTACTTCTCCCTTTCACACACAGCTTTCTTAAGTTTCAACAAATCAAAACCATGTAAAGTAAGGAACAAGTGAGGAGACAATCTGTTTCCCATAGAACCACCTGACGCTGTTTACACATTGTTACACCATGACATGTCCTGACAAATCTACATTACATCTTTCATAATACTCTGTCAGTGCCTCCGGCTACAGCTCAACGTCCTTTTGCACCTTGTCTGGGAAATTATGCGCAGGTGCATTTTAGTGTGGTAAACAGGTGATACTTCCTCCACTGCCAGCTGAAGAGGAGTCTAAAGTATGGGCTTAACATGAGAGGGTGACTTTCTCTGTTTTTAACAATGCAAGCAGCGTGGCTCTGTGGATGGAAATGTCAGTCTGTAGTTCTGTCTGTCCACTTTGGTCCAGACTGAAAT